TAGGGAAAGGTATGTAATGAGAATCTTTCTTTGATGGCAACTGATATTTTCAGATGGTTGTGCATCATTCAGAAATCATGTATACTTACAGAGACAATTGATACATCATTCAGAGATAAGTTATATTTGACAGCAAAACATACATGCACACGTGTGTGTGTGCATGCGTGTATGTTTGTATTCTACAATACCTTGCCTCCCCCTCCTTTTTATACACTGGTAGTACATCTGCAGTTTCCTTTTATTTATTTTTATTATTTTTTTTTATTTATTTATGTTTTTGTGGTACATGGGTCTCTCACTGTTGTGGCCTCTCCCATTGCAGAGCACAGGCTCTGGACGCGCAGACTTAGCAGCCATGGCTCACGGGCCTAGCCGCTCCGCGGCATGTGGGATCTTCCCGGACCAGGTCACGAACCTGTGTCCCCTGCACCGGCAGGTGGACTCTCAACCACTGCGCCACCAGGGAAGCCTTGCAGTTTCCTTTTAAACAACACTATCAACCGATAGTAAAAGGTCAGAGTAAGGAGAAAGTCTGGGGAAGAAAAAGATGGACTTGTCTGTCTGTCTGGTAGTTTGGATTTTAAATCAAAGACAGAATCGTCACACAATAGTAAAGAAACTGCATAGCGGGAATTCAGCCTTGTAGCTGAGGCTGATGAGACATGGAGTTGGGACCTGTTTGCAGGACGGGGAATGGAGTCCTGTCACCTCTTGATTGACTCAACCAAAGAGCAGAGGAGAGCAATTCTCTATTCTTGATAATGAGACCCCCTGAGTTCTAAGCGTCTCAGACCAACAGCACAGATGTGAAGAAATAAGGAGAGGGCAGGCTCCTGACCAAATCAAAGCAGGGTGCGAATACATCAAGAGACCATAATGTATCGACATCAAATGTATGTCAAGCGCACAGCTGGGATTAAGGCAGAGACCGGGGAAGCGTTCTCGCACAGAAGCCAGGAGAGGGGGAGAGAGCCTGGCCCAGCAGCTGGGCACGGAGGGCAAGGCCAGGTGCCTGCCGAGGTGAACGGTGGCGAGCGACACCCAGGGAAGTGCTAGGTTCAGACAGGGTCAGCCCATGGACGCTGCCAGTGCCTAGCTGGTCTGGGAAGACTTCCCAGCGAGGCTTTCAGGAGCAGCTTGAATGGGAAGAGAAACAGTTTGGTGAACAGATTGAGGGCGGGAGTTTCAGGCAACCTGCCGATCCACACTGGCTGAGCTCCAAAGGAACACTTGCTTATCTTCTTTCTGTTGTGTCTTTCACCCTTTTGTATTTCCTTAAAGATCCCAGAATCTGGCAGGGGTGTTCGGTTCTAGGATAAGCTGTTGAGAGTGGGTGTGCATTAAAATGCAAATGAAGGCGGTGGGGACCAGATCTTGGTGGTGGAGCTGGGATGTGGATGCGCCAGAGGACTCGGCCCTGGCAGAGAGGCAGGGTGGCACAAGGCTCCAGCCCTGAGTGGGAATTGGGAGCCCTGGGCTGCAGGCCCGGCTCAGATACTAACTTGTTTGGGACCTTGGAAGGTCACAGGACCACATCTAGCTTTTGTCAAGGACGAGATGGGTGTGTTGGACTAAATGACCTGTAAAAATCTAAGCAAGTCAGCGACTGCCAGCCAAAGAACCCAAGTCTGCCAGTTCAATGGAACTGAATATCGCCACAGCCTTGAAGCTTACAGTATAAACATCATTTGTGATAGTCATGCCTGCCAAGCACTTGACACAAGTCTTTTCCCTATAGCATGTCATCTGCTCCTCCTAATGGCCCATGAGGCAGGCACGGCAGGTATATGATCAGCCCCATTTTACAAACGGGGAAACTGAGACATGGGCTAACTTGTTCAAGGTCCCAGTGCTGGACTCTGGCTGGCTCTCCACTCCCCCCGTCCCCGCCCTGCCCCCCACTTGGATGGCAAATGATGTTCAGAGCATGCCCAGTGCTGGCTCTGGGATGAGAGCCTGGAACCCTGATGCCAGGTGCACCCACTCCACCTTAACATCAAGGTCAGGGTGGGCCACTGTCACCTGAGCACCACTCCCTGAGGGACATCTGCTCCACCTGGTACCCCCCTGTTGCACTTGCTCCAGGGCAAGGCACACCTTTTACTTTCATAAGGATGTGCCCTGAGCTGGCACTCAGGTCCCTAGGGACATATCCTCTGGGCTCCTGAAGCAGTGGCAGTCTCCGGGCTCTACCCTGAGGGAGTGGAATTGCTTTTCTCCCAGCCTGGCTTCCTGTCTAGACATCTCGAATGGTCCACTGGATTTAGCTCGCTGGGTTTGCTTGCCAGCTCGGTCAAACCCACACAGTTCAGTGCCCGGTGGCTGCCTCCCCCTCATCAGGGCTGCATCCTAGGAGGAGTGCCTGGAACTGAGGACTGAGGCTAAGAAACTGTATAATGAAGGGACCCGGGGGAGGTAAAGATGACAACACCCTTAGGGGCAGCTCAGCTAGCATCCTGTCCCTTTTGGAACTCACACAGGCACCTCCCTCTCTCCCCCACACCTGGAAGGATGGGTTGTCAGGGCAACCACTCATAGGCCCCACTATCCTCAGTCCCACCGTCCCAGTGGACTCACTGAAGCTGGCTGTGGAGAAGAAGCCTGTCCCTCGAAGAGACACGAGCAGAGCTAGTCCTTTGCAATATTCAGTCCCAAGCCAAGACTCTCTCTTGGACCTATCCTTGATGGAGGCTGAACCTCCCACGTGAGGCGAAGCTGAGAGATACATCAGGCCCAGTGCTTCTAGAGCAAGGATGCTAGGGCTGGTTTCTCACCTGCGCTGCACACAGGCTTCATAATGGAGGGGAGTGCAGGTGCCTCTCTCTCTAACCTGCCCAGGGGAAAGAGGTGGCCCCGCTGTGGTTCTAAGGAACTTGCAATCAAGTTGAGAAAAAAAACATCAGTCAAATCCTGATTGTGAGACATTCTACAAAATACCCAACCAGTCCTTCTCAAGACCACTGAGGTCATCCAAGACAAGGGAAGTCTGAGAAACTGTCACAAGCAAGAAGAGCTTAAAGAGACATTAACGTCTCCAACAGCCATGTGGTAGGACAAGGCAAGCACTGGACTGAGAGTCTGTTATTTATTATTATTTTTTGCAGTACGCGGGCCTCTCACTGTTGTGGCCTCTCCCGTTGTGGAGCACAGGCTCCGGACGCGCAGGCTCAGCGGCCATGGCTCACGGGCCCAGCCGCTCCGCGGCATGTGGGATCTTGCCGGACCCGTGCACGAACCCGTGTCCCCTGCATCGGCAGGCGGACTGTCAACCACTATGCCACCAGCGAAGCCCGAGAGTCTGTTATTAACACTAGTTAGAACTAGGATGGGCAGCGTGCTTTTACAATTGCAAAGCAGCATTTTTTTTAATTAAAATTTTCTTTTAGGACAGTTTTTTGTTTTTGTTTTTGTTTTTGTTTTGGCCACGCCATGAGGCTTGCGTGATCTTAGTTCCCTGACCAGGGATTGAACCTGGGCCCTCAGCAGTGAAGGCACAGAGTCCTAACCGCTGGACCACCAGGGAATTCCCTAGAACAGTTTTAGATTTACAGAAAAAAGCGAAGATAGTACAGAGGGTTCCCATACACCAGGACCTAGTTTCCACTATCACTAACATCTCACATGAGTATGGTACGTTTGTTAAAAGTAATGAACGGGGGCTTCCCTGGTGGAGCAGTAGGTGAGAGTCCGCCTGCCGATGCAGGGGACACGGGTTCGTGCCCCAGTCAGGGAAGATCCCACATGCCGCGGAGCGGCTGGGCCCGTGAGCCATGGCCGCTGAGCCTGCGCGTCTGGAGCCTGTGCTCCGCAACGGGAGAGGCCACAACAGTGAGAGGCCCGCGTACCACACACACAAAAAACTAATGAACGAATGTTGATACATTGTTATTATTATTATTAACTTAAGTCCCAACTTCATACGGATTTCCTTAAAGTCCTTTTTCTGTTCTCATCCAGGATCCCACATTATCTTTGTCATGTCTCCATAGCCCGTGCTTGGCTGTGACAGTTTCTCAGACTTTCCTTGTCTTGGATGACCTTAGCTGCTGGAGGAAGATTGGTCAGGTATGGTGTTGAAGGCTCCTCAACTGGGACTTGTCTGATGTTTTTCTCATGATTAGGCTGGGGATGAAGAGCACAGAAGTAAAGTGCCATTTTCAGTCCATCACATCGAGAGTGGATACTATCAACATGACTTATCACTGCTGATAAGGCTCACCTCCTCCAGGAAGCCACCCGTCTGAGGTAGTATTTGTTAGGTTTCTCCACTGTCAAGTTATATCAAAGCACAGTTGGTAACGTATGATTTCCTTTGATCTCATCAAACCACCTTTGGGACTTTGCATACCCACTTACTATCTCTAGTCCCTGGCTGTAGAAGGAAGATACAGAACATCTCTGAGGTCCTGGTTCTAAGATTCTCAGTTGTACTTCCTGACTATACTCTGACCTACAGAGAAAAGGCGGCAGCCACAAGACCGCCCAGGGAGCCCTCCATCCTCCCTAGATGTGCCACCCTCTCATACCTGGGAGCAGGCTGGATGTGGGCTCCCATGTTTTGGAGGGTGAAGAAGCATTCTATTTTTATTTATTTATTTATTTATTTATTTGGCTGCACTGCATGGCATGCGGGATCTTAGTTCCCCGACCAGGGATCGAAGCCGTGCCCCCTGAAGTGGAAGCGTGGAGTCTTAACCACTGGACCACCAGGGAATTCCTGAGGAAGCATTCTAGAAGTTCCACCAGTGAGCAAGAAAGGAAGCAAGGAGATGTTGAATGAATGAACAAGATAATAAATTTATTAAGAACTTACTGATACCTTGTTTTGTGCCAGGCATGATAGGGAATGGAGAGGTACAGGACGTAGTGAACAAAATTTAGAGTGGGGACCAGATGTAAGCTGATGAACAGTAACAAAGCACATTCAGCCTGTCCTTGAACACCATCACCTCTATGGAGCCTTTTCTAATTGTCCTATCTGGATATCTGCTCTTCCTCCTCTGAGCCCTTATACTACTCTGTGTAAGGAAATGGCATTGCTAGTGTAGCTCTTAGTTTATATGACTGTCCCTGGTAGACAGGAATTCTACTCTTTACATTAGGGACTGATCATGAAAACTTACTATGTGCTGAATTGGTCTAAATCTGGGACCACAAGAAATTAAAGTCTTAGAAGCAACAAATATGCTGGGTTCTGAGGAGGGAGAGATCTTGGGTGGCTTCCTGGAGGAGGTGAGCCCAAAAGCATGGCTAAAGGACAAACAGAGGGCTTTCTCCTTCCTCGGATGAGGCAGAGGTGAGTTTAAAGCCAGGCCCCTAACGTCAGCGCAACCTAGGGACCAGGACCTTATCACCCAATTCTTCAGGGCTGGCTTCTCTCCCCATGCCTCCCATAGTCCTGCCTTTAAGTGTTAGCCCACACCTGTCTCTCCACCTGCCGTGCTCTCCCCTCTCGTCCTTCCCTGATAGTTCCAGCCCACGGTGACTTTACCTCTCTGACTATCCCGACAAGCACTTCTGGTTTGAAAGCCCTTGTTTGGCATATCGCCCATGTATGGCCCAGGACTGTGGGCTATCTTTTGTGAATTGGCTTGATGTCTCCTGACAAGCAGGCTCTGGGCCTCAAGGCCCCCAGCTTAACCCTGGCACAGAGGAGATGCTCCATCAATAGTGGCTGATGAGTTTATTTATTTATTTGTCTTTAAATTTCTATTTATTTATTTATAGCTGCATTGGGTCTTCGTTGCTGTGCACGGGTTTTCTCTAGTTGCAGCAAGCGGGGGCTACTCTTCGTTGCGGTGAGTGGGCTTCTCATTGCAGTGGCTTCTCATTGCGTAGCACGGGCTCTAGGCACATGGGCTTCAGGAGTTGTGGCACGTGGGGTCCGGAGTTGTGGCTCGAGATCTCTGAGCACAGGCTTAGTAGCTGTGGTGCACGGGCTCAGTTGCTCCGCGGCATGTGGGATCCTCCCGAACCAGGGCTCGAACCTGTGTCCCCTGCATTGGCAGGCAGATTCTTAACCGCTGTGCCACCAGGGAAGTCCCCGATGAGTTTATTGTTTCAGAGTCTTCAAGGGCTGAAACCTCTCTTTCCCACCTGGCACTCCAGCGTCCAGTTGATTCTTCCCGTTGGGGTCCTTGTCCCTCATTGCCCACCTGCCTTTCTGTCGGTGGGAAGATGCAGTGGAAGGGAACATGGCTCCCACTTCCCCAGTCACTGCTCCCCAGAGCCTGGAACTCAGCTACCATTGCTTGGATAACACCCACAGAGTCTGTATCCTAGCGACTCTGGAAGGTTGCCTCCACAGCCTTTCATGAATGAAGAAAACCTCCCTCTGCCTTCTGTGGTCTCAGAGGTAATGCTGGATGTGCGTCTGTGTGTGTGGGGGTGTGTGGTGTCCAGGGTGTGACTACCTGTGAATGAGGGTGTGTGAGGGTGTGGGTGTATGTGTTGCATGTTGGGGGTGGGATATGAGGATGTGTGTTGTATGGATGTGATTGTGAGTGTGCACGTATAAGCATGTGCACATGTGTGAGTGTGGGTGCGAGGGTATGGGTGTGTGTGTTGCAGTGTTGCGTGTGTTTGCATGGGTGTAAGTCAGGGAGCATATAGGTGTGTGTGAGCATGTGCATGTATGAGCAGGGGGTGTGGTGCGTGTGAGCATGTGTGTATATCGCACGTGTGTGAGTGACAGTGTGAGCATGTGTGTGAATGTTGTATGTGTGAACGTGAGGTTATGGGTGGGTTGGATGTGTGCATGTGTGGCGGCTGTGTGTGTGTGCAGGGGTACAGGGATATGGCTTGTGTGTGACCCAAGGGAGGAGAAATCTTCCAGACTAATCCTGTTAGATGACTCAGGAATTGTTTTCCCCCCTTGGGTAAAAGACTGAAGTCTGGGCCCTCGGACAAAGCCTTCACACCCTCTTCCCCTCCCAGCCCAGGCCTCTCTTTCTCATCATAGGGGTCCACTGGGCGTCTCGGCATCTTTAGTCAAGCCACTCCAGCCCCTGCTGCGGCGGGTGAGGCCCCGCCTTCCCACCTTGGCCCCGCCCCCTCCCAGCCAGGACCAGACCGCCTCGGAGGACGCCCGGAAGTGGTTTCGCGATCCACCCCGGCCGCGTTCCAAACCTTTGGTGTCCCCCAGACCCCCCTGTGAGGGAGATGAATTTGGCATCAGATCCCAGCTGACAAGAAACTGCTGACACAGGCCGGATTTTGTGCAGGCCCTGCTGGGGTGATGGATGATGAGTTTCCAAGTGAAATCTAATAGAAAGTCCATGCATAATACATCTTTAAGGGAGCAAATTCCAATTTGCATCCCATTAGGCCGCTGAAGTCTCAGAGGCCCAGCAGTGCCGCGGAGTCTTCCTTCAGAAGGAACCCAGAACAGAGGGTGCCTGTCCCAGAGCAGAGGCTGGGAGTCGGGGTGCACCGCCCGACACTGGGAGCTGCCCGCGTGGGAGGGTCCGTGCTCTCCCGCGGGCTGTCCCTTGGTGCTGGCCCCGGGCCTGGCTCTGGGCAGCTCTTCTGATGTCCTGTGCCTCCACATGCCCTTCACAAGCAGGATCAAAGGAGAGCCTGGCTTCCCAATGATGCTGTAATTTCCCTTCACTGTCCTGCTGTAGGTCAAGGATTTGGAGGAAAATAATGTGTGCCCCAGTTTGCAAAGAGGTAAAGGAAGCTTGAAGAGGAGTCCCTCCTGCAAGGGTGGGGGGCTCTAGGAGCAGCGAAGGGAGAGGAGCAAGGGGGTGTAGGG